TTTTGCTGAGGCTTGCTTTGAACTCATGATACTCCTGCCTCAGCCTCCCAGCTGCTGGGATTACAGGCTTGAGCCACAGGGCATGGTTGAATTATGGGATTTTTGGTACTGTTTCCAGTTAAGTTAGGATGGAACCTGAGGATAACCTCAAACTGGGATACTTTATTCAATGATGATAATTTGTTTAGCTTCCTCAACTTTTTGATCAACACTTGAATGTAAAAGTCCACTAAATACATTGTACCTACAATGTATAATTCTAAACAGTTATTTAAGGGATTTGCTTCTGGTAATCAGTTTCTACTTGGACACCAAAAGAAATTGTATAAATATTTTCTGGGTTTTACAACTTAGATGCCCTTCAGTAGATGAGTAGATTAAAAATGTGGCATATATACACAATAGAATATTACTCAGCAATAAAAGAGAATAAAATCATGGCATTTGCAGGTAAATGGGTGGAGTTAGAGAAGATAATGCTAAGAGAAGTTAGTCAATCCCCAGAAATCAAATGCCAAATGTTTTCTTTGATATAAGGAGGCTGATTCATAATAGGATAGGGAGAAGGAGCATGGGAGGAATAGATGAACTCTAGATAGGATAGAGGGGTTGGAGGGGAAGGGAAGATGCATGGGGTAATTAATGATGGTGGAATGTGATTATCATTACTATCCAAAGTACATGTATGAAGACATGAATTGCTGTGAATATACTATGTATGCAACCAGAGATATAAAAAATTGTGCTGTATATGTGTAATAAGAATTGTAATGCATTCTGCTGTCACTTATAAATAAAAAAAAATTACATAAAAAATGTTTTCTGGGTTTTAAAAAGCCAACTGACTGAACAACAACAGAAAACAAACAAAATACCAAGAAACACAAGTTGGAAAAAATGGAGTTAGAAGTTGGGAGAGGTGGTGCTCATGCACACCTACAATCCCAGCTACTTGGGAAGCTGAGGCAGGAGGATCACAAGTTCCAGGCTGGCCTAGACAATGATGGTAGGACCCTGACTTAAAGTTTTTCAAAAGTTGGGGGATTGGAGATGTAGCTTAGTATCTATAGTGCTTGCTTTACGTGTGTGAAGCCCTGGGTTAAATTCCCAGTACCACAAACGACAACAAAACTGGAGTGGAATCAGATTTTGTGGAAAACTAACCCCCAATTTTTGTTTTATTCAGTTGGCAACAAATCACTTATTTAATAATATAGTCCAAACACTGTGAAAGGCACTGGAGTGGGAAAGATATGTTAGACAAGACAACTTTTAAACAGCTTACATTCTAGAAATTTGTAAAAGATCAACTTGTCTGATGGAAGATGGATCATTACTTCATAAAGCATGTATTTAGTATCTACTATGTTTCACGTATTGTGATACTTAGTAATCTTGAAAGGCAATATAAATATGCAAAAACAAAAGAATATGATACTTTTGCTTGAATTACTGGGACAGGGAATCAGGGAAAGGAAAAGTCTGAGTACACTTGCAAAAGGAACTAGTGGTAGAGGTGAGTCTTAAAAGAGTTAATAAAAAGTAGAAATTAACCTAAAAATAGATGTGTCAGAAAACTGACCTTTATAAGAACAGAACATCCTTATTATTATTTTTTTTTCTGGGAACTCTTGTACAAAACTGTACATGAGTGAAGTAAGGGAAGATGTGGAGTACCAGTAATGCTATTACAGATAGGCAAGACCAGATTTCTGAAGGTGATATGTATCATGCATAGGGTTTTGGATTTTTTTTTCTGGATTTTTAAAAAAATGTTGCCATTTTAGTCAACACTATGGAGGATGAATTGATGAACGTAAAAGACACTCATAGAGGAGGCAATTTTAAGACTCTTAAAATATTGAGGGCCTGAAATAATTGGTAGAAGAAAGAAGGAAGAGATTTTGCCCTTCAGGAGTTAAGAGAAGTTGGTCACTTTTGTGGAATAATATCTCTAATTTGTGGGTATAATGTTCATAGTAATCAGCCATAAAATGAAAACATTTAATAATTGAAGTTATTACTTAAAGGATGTAGATGTTATAGTTGAAAACAGTACTTAAAATAATACAAGTAAATTTTTTTTTAAATGGACTATTGAATCAAGCACTTATGAAATTTAAGTTGGAGAGCCCTACCAATTATAGATATTTTGATTTAATTCTCTGATTTTCTAACATTCTAACATGGGAGATTTTAAACATAAAGATTGTGTATATAGTAACACAAACCACTGTGAATCCTTTGACAAGTTTCAACTGTTAGAGGCATGTGACTTTTGTTTGTTACATTATCCCTCCTTTTCCTCCTTAACTGGATAGTTTTTTGTTTGATGGCATTGGAGATGGAACCCAGGGGCACTGTACTACTGAGCCACATCCCCATCCCATTTTAGTTTTTATTTTGAGATAGGATCTTGCTGAGTTGCCCAAGGTGACCTCGAACTTGTTATCCTCCTGCCTCAGCCTCCTAAATTGCTGGGATTATAGGCATGTTCCACTATACCCATCTCAACTAGATAATTTTAAAGGAAATCATAAACATGTCATTTATAAATACTTCATTGTGTGTATACCTAAAAAGACAGGGACTCCTAACCACAGTACCATTTGCTTGCCTAAAAAGTAATAATTCCTTAGGATTGTTGAACAATCAATGAATATCCCTGACTATCTCATGTTTTATTCCCTTGATATGTTTCATTCA